ACACACACACACACACACACACACACACACACACACACACACACACACACACACACACACACAGAGAGAGATACATACACCTCTCCTTGTTTTTATTTTTCTTTTGTTGCTAGGTCCCATGGTAGCACTAGGGATGTGCAGTCTTGATATGCTGTGAGCTTTGACATGATGTTGGTTGGAATTGGAAATAAGTGATGGTGTTTTTATAAAAAATCTTTCAACTTTAAGAGTGAGTGAACTCAAAACTCAAGATTAGTTTTTCCCTTTTAGTTTGTTTGTTGAGGTGATAGTCCTGAATAGCTAGAAGTTTTTACCTAGGTATGTTACTCCACTGAAACATACCACTGACTGATATAAAAATGATTCCACTTATCTTTGTTAATCACTGTTATGATTCATACTTAGTATCTCAGATACTGATTTTATTTCCCTCAAATTCTTTCTTAATTAGGATTTAACCATCACCATGTCGAGCAAAAGGGCAAAGACCAAGACCACCAAGAAGCGCCCTCAGCGCGCAACCTCCAATGTGTTCGCCATGTTTGACCAGTCCCAGATCCAAGAGTTCAAAGAGGCCTTCAACATGATCGACCAGAACCGGGATGGCTTCATCGACAAGGAGGACTTGCACGACATGCTTGCTTCAATGGGTAATGTCCACTCACAATGTCGATGTATTGGGTAGAATTTCCTTCACTTTTTCATGATCCTTAAAGCTCCATGAAGCCATCTAAGTGATTAATTTTGAAACAGTGTTTCCCACTGGGGCAGACACCTGTACCTACCTCAGGGTTGGGCTGAAGGACTGTGTGTGCATGCATGTTTGTTGGTGGGTGTTTGAGAAAGTGAGGGCTGAAGAGATGGCTGAGAGTTAAGACTGCATACTGCTCTTGCAGAGGACTTGAGTTTGGTTCCCAGCACCTACATTCAGTAACTCCATCAGCAGGGGGATTCCTGCTCCTTTGGATTCTGTGGGCACCTGCACGCATTTGCACGTACCAGCACATACATTCATTCATTCATACATACATACATACATACATACATATATACATACATACATACACAATGAAAAATAAATCCTTAAAAAGAGAAAGTAAAAGATCTTGATTAAAGGCAGTACTAATCCTCCTAGCATCTCACTGGAATATTATATACTTAACTATATGTCTCCAAACTTTCCCATAGTTTTGCTGTCATGAACCCAAATAGCAAACAATACAGCGTTTTCCATTTCCTGCCAGAATGTTTGTTGTGATTAATAATTGGTATATTTCCTAATGTGATTACGAATATGGCTCCTTTTGTTTAGGAAAAAATCCAACTGATGAATATCTGGATGCCATGATGAATGAGGCCCCGGGCCCCATCAACTTCACCATGTTCCTCACCATGTTTGGAGAGAAGCTGAATGGCACGGACCCGGAAGATGTCATCAGAAATGCCTTCGCTTGCTTTGATGAGGAAGCAACGGGTAAGTCAGGGGTAATGTAATCACAGAGTTGTTTTTTAGTTAGGTAACAAAATATGCAGTACTTCAAATGTAGTGAATCAGCACTTTTTGAAGGTTTCCTTTGCAGCTTTCTTTTGGTGCGCTCATCACTCACCTTACTCCTTCCCTTAAGTATTAGTAGTTTTCAGAGGTTCGCTGGTTTCATTTGTAACATCTTTGGGAAACATTTACACTCTTATTTAAAGGTTAATTCCCCCAGGGTCCTGGCTGTCAGTACTGTGTTAAATGAGTAACTGACCAGAGGAACCCGGTAAATTGCTACAGACCACAGCACAGCACTGTCTTGTGTTTGCCTGTTGGGCATCTCTCAACTCCAGAATCGTTCAATGTGTGATAGGTGTGTAATTCGGGGCAGGTTACTTCGGTACGGTTCTGTTTCTGTTTTTGATGAAACTGGCAATAATATGACCTATCTCATAGAGCTGTTGTGAGGATGAACTGGGGAAACGACATGGTGTCCTTAGTGCCTAGCATGCCGCTGGCGTCTGGTTGAGGAGAATGAAGTGCTAGGTGTGGTGTTGCAGGACTGGCCTGTCAGCCCAGCACTCAGGAGGCTGAGTCTGGAATCATGGGTTTGGACTACCCAGTAAGAAGACTATATCCCAAAAAACAAACCATTAAAACACAAAGTGTTAACTAGAGGAATGCCTGGTCCTTTGGCAAAAAGTAGAAGGAAAAGCATATTTTCTAAGATTTCCACTCTGTGGCTCAGCCAGTGTGTGTAGAGGGAAGGCACACCTCTGATTTCCTATGTTACGTAGGCTAGTCTTAAATGCTGGTGGTTGTCAGGGCCAGCTGAGGGAAGTACGGTCTCCTCCTCACTCTAGCTTTCAAACTCCCCACAGAATGGCCATCTTCTGATTTTCATGTATGGCCCTCATCCACAAAAGAGGCACACATGAGCACATATGAGTGTGATTTCGTAGACTTTTCTCTTGGCTCCTCAAAAACAGTGACTCTTTCCTTTCCATGCACCCAGTTTTTTACTGGTGTCTGTCTCCTGACACATTCATGGTTGATGTATTTTAGTTGTGTTCATTTATGTGCCAATCGAGTGAGTTGGCTGAAGTTAATGATTTATTTCTACAAAGCTACACTTCTAAGATTTTAGGGATCTCTTTTAAAAATGTAGGATTAGCGCTTCTTTTTTATTTCTCATTTTGTTTGTCGAGCTTACTTTGTATGAAATACATTCTTAGTGTATTAGTTTCACATGCCAGGAAGTCGTCAGAGTCCTTTCTTTTTTGCTTTATGATTAAACCTGTTTCATTTATTTTCTACTTTAATATATTAAAGGTTCTTAATCATTATGCATACAAGTTACTTGGGGAGCTCTTTAAAACTCCCAGTCCTAGAAAAGAAATCAGGGCTGAAACAGGATCCTGCTTCTGTTCTGTAAGTAATTGCATTCTTTTTGGCAGGTGGGTTTTATGAA